GCAGCTATCAATAAACTGCTTTGTGTTATATCAAATATCCAAATAGAATAAGATGATCGTACTGACAACCAACCATATGTATTTGTAACATTATAAGCCCACATCGACACAACGTAGATCATCAAAAGGGGGAATTGTTACCAGCTTGCCAGTCAGGGCCAACACTTTGCTGACAGGGATACAGCGCCCTTCCATTAGCCTATAGAAGGAGATCATCATCATCATCCAGTGCCAGATCTGCGACAGACGTCGGCGATCATGGTTCTCCATTCATTCCTTTGCTCGGATGCTCTCAAAAAAGCTACGTTTCCCTGATCTTTCCAGGTTACCCATTTATTTAGGTTTCCCTAGTAGATTGTCCTGGTTCTACCCCTGCCTCGTTTGCCTTCAATTTTGCCAGTGAGAGCAAGATGTTCAAGACCCTTATGTCTATTCAGGAGTTTAAAAAAACTGCACAATTTGTCGTTTCCTGATTGTTTTTAACATTGAGCGTCCCACGTGGGCTTCATCAAGCACAACCTCATTTGACTTCTTTTCCTTCCACGATACTCTTAGCAGTCTCCTAAGGTACCACATTTCTTTTGTTTCTGTTTTATTTGCACTGTCTTTAGTGATTGTCCAGCATTCACTAAAGGAGATACATGATATTTAAAAAAATTCCTTTCAGGGAATTGAACCCACATCTTCTGCAGTCAACGGCGCACAGCCTAACTGCCACACGTCGGACACCAACATCACATTGTGTGAACAAATTATCTGTATCGGTTATTACTGCCACGGCTTTACAGGTGTTGTCAACTCCACTTGTATTGAAGTCGCTTGAGTTGATCTTTGGTTAAGTTAATCTATTTCTCGGGTTCCAGCACCTCTTCTTGTTTACATTTGCCAAGGTCAAACGGCTATGTTCAGTTCAACTCAAACGTTAATATAGTGTTCTTGCGTTGAAGCGCTTTTTTTTGTCGCCCGACTGCTAGTATGCAACGGTTGTAATGACTTTATTTCATGCGTATCTTCAGACGTTTAGCATCAGTTTTGATACTAGTGAAACTTGGGTGAAAATACGATAATATTATGTAGAGTCAATCAACGAGCATAAATTACTTGGCCTACATATATTCTGTTTTATCAAATAGCCATTTTATTATGTCATTGCGACGACAAATTGTTTTGGAACGGCTAGAAAAACATGTATATCCAGTATAACCAATGATCATACATAACAAGATGGTCCACTCCTCTTTTTGAGCCTATTAAAAAAGTGTCCTCAAAATTCAGTGGAGCCCTCTTCGCAAATGCGCACCCTTTGCGAACAGAGTTACCCTACTTGTGTGAAAAAACAACAAAATGAAACTAACAAGTTTTGAATAAATAAGAATTCAAATTTCGGAAGAACGCTTTTTTGAAATGGTAACCAAAAAAACCTCTTCCGGATGAAGAGGCGAGGAAGAGGCGACTGTTTTCTTCGTTTAATTTGACTTTAGAATGAGAGGCGAGAGGTCATTAAAATAAAATAAAAAACTAAAACTCCGCCTAGAACGAACCAGAACAGCTGATGAACAGCAGTCGATTTGCGCACGCAAGGAGGTGCTATTCCTATTTTTCTTCTGGAGAAACGAAAGAGAGCTTCAAAACAGACTGCAGCGCCATCTGAAGCAGTGAGCGGACTTCCGGCGGACACTTTTTTGGCTGAGTGAACCATCTTGTTATGCACGATCTTTGGTATAGTTTGAATAATTTGAAGCAAATACGCAACAATTGAAATTTAACTGATATTTGTGCGTACTCTTCCGCTGCAATAAAGTCTGCAGTCGCTTTTCTTTTCCACGTAGTGCCCAAATTCACCTTATCATATCCAGTTTTACGAAGTAGGCTTTAACTCAGACGAAATAACCGGAAACCATAGGAGATCTATAAATAAATCAAACTATGATCATATTTAATCGGAAACTTCTAATATATTCCTTGAATGACCTAAGGTGGGTGGGTTTGCAAACCTTAAAAGGCACAGATAAAGAGTGGAATAAAGTTGAAGCATCTCTTTAAAATGTTAAGGCTCAATTTTTCACACCACGCTGACTAGCTTGATGCGATTTGATACGCTCACCGCGATCGTAACTGACGTCAAATGAGGCTGTCAGCGATTATCAAACCCAGCCAAACAATCTCATTTTGATAGTGACGGTGTTGATCCGAAAAGGAAGTAGTTTCTGTAAGCATTAAGATCTAGAATGGAAAATAAAGAAATGTATCAAAAACTCAGTTTTAGTTGAACGTTCTCATGTGTATTATTTCATGTACTTGTATCTTTCATCCCAATGAGACTATAGTTTCTATGGGAATTTGAGTTTCCAATTAATCAGCAGTGGATCAGCTGACCATCACAACATCAAACACAGCCTAGACTGAATGCCTCGCCATGTGCAAGAGGCTGCTGAATGGTGTTTGGTTTTTCTCTAAATGTGAGGCAGCGTAGTGAAATCAGGCGCTCGTCAAAAAAGTGAAATCCATGAAAACCTGCATTTCTATGCCGGTTTGGCAATCTTTATCAAACTTTTATTTTTCAGCTTAACACCTTTTATGTACCTTTCTGTGTTGACTTTACTTTGAAAAAGTGATTAAAGACATAAAAATGTAAATTTCAGTTTCCAAGGACTGTCAAGCTATGGAAGTCACTAAACCTTGACGAAAATGTTCTGGATTATATTACCTCTGAAATCGTTCTCCAATTGCAAGTATCTCGACTTCTATTCAAGACAGATGTGCAGTTGTTTTCATCGAAAACAAGATAAATGAACAAGGTTTGAGATGATGCCTGCCTATAATTCCTCGAGCCAAAAATTAACGTGCGCCTCATTCCACCGTGTCATGACATTTTTTCTCCTGCTGTTGATGAACTGTTCTATTGCACCTTTAGTTTCTTAATCAAAGTTCCATTTTATTAATAATATTACGGAGAGCCTTGATGGAAAGGTTTAGTTTGCTAGTTCACTTACAACTTTCATATTCTTGAGGATACAATTACGTTCAAAGGTGAGCAACGAATTCACACACACACTCACACACGCACGCACACACACACACACACACACACACACACACACACACACATACACACAAACACATGAACACACACACACACACACA